GTGCAACGTGTCATTGCTTCTTAGATTACTTTTTCATAGATATCATTTTCACATATCATATCACATCATATTCCTCATTCAATCATGCTACACTATAAGAATATAATAATAATAAATCTGCTCAGTTTCTTGACATAATATTATATGAAATTCTATTATTCAACTGTTTTAAAAAAAATTAATTTTTGCATCCAATCATCTGTTGCTAACACTACATTTGTCAAGTAGGTGAGCACATTTTTCTATTAAAGTGGCTTGATCCTTCCTCCCTTCCTTTTCCTACTTAAGAAATAATAATTTAAATTCTTATATAAAACACCAATTTCCTCAAGTGGCCACATGTATTATTTTAAAATTATCCATGTAAGATAATGAATTTAAATCAAATATTACTTTGTGTAAAATTATACAATATTGTAAAATAATTTGAAAATCGTTTTCAGAACGACTTTAGAGCATTTCAATACGTTTGAATCTGTTTTAAAAAGTTTGGTTGTGCATTTGTTTAGATGTATATAACTCAATTAAGTTTGAATTTTGGATAGTAATATTCATTATTTATTACTAAATACTCAATTACGTTTCATTAAATACTCAATTACGAATGAAAACGTGCAACCTAGGGACACACACTAATGATAAAATGCACTTAAAGATAATCTGGTCATATGGCAATGATGCCTTTGTAATTGATTATTAAACACATGATGATTATATAACAATGTCATATTATGACTAAAATAATGTTCATTTAATTTTTTAAATCCAATTATGATAAGAGTAATGTTATTCATAATGAAAACTATCGATAGTCAACTTATATGGTTTACAAGTGACAATCTGTTGACAAATTGTGCTATTTATGACGATTATCGGTAATTTTCACCATAAATCGCATTATTCTTATGATAACGTTGAATGTTATATACACACTATTCTAAGATATTACAAAACAACGATGGCTATTAAAATGTTGACCTATATGATGGTAAATGAAAAAATAAGGTACAATATGTCCAAGGTTATTCTTGAAAACGTTCAACATTAGCATTAATTATTTTTTCATAGATAATCTAGGCTAGATTTCAAAAAGATTTTAACACGTAAAAATGAAATTTGATTGTTCAATAATGATTATGCGAGCTCATCTCCAACACAATTCATTCTAGAAAGACACAAATTATTAAAACAAAGAATTGGAAATTCAAATCTCATCGTGAACTAGTGAAGAAGATACTGCGATCCACAAAGGGAAAATTTGATCAGTCTTCTTTAAATCTTGGTAATCTACCTTTAAACCCCTTCAGTCACACTTGTCACGAGGACAATAGGAAATTTCACAAAAAAATGATGGGAAAAGTGAAGTAGGAATCATGTTACTTTGTAAGGGAGAATTGCAGTTGAGGTATCAAATCTTTGATTTATTAGCAGACTTTGCCCAAACTTTTCGTTTATGCCACCCACGATACCGAACCTTTCAAAAACTCGCAGTGGAAGTCTAGATGGATGGAAACTGTTAATTTGACCGTTAGTTGACCAAAGATTTAACATTGACCATTATTTTTGACTAATTTTAAAATGATAAAATGGTAACTTTACATTTTTCAAAAAAAAAAAATAATAATTACAATATATTAATAATTAAATCAAAACACAAAAATACTATTCATCTTCTTCTCCAACCCCCCCCCCACACACACACACTCACCCATTCACCCACTTCCCAAAACCAACACCTACCAATTTCTGCATCCACTCATCAGAAATGCTTCTCTTAGAATCTAGATCTCACTTTGTCCAAGACATTTCTTTAAAATTAAATCCATAACAAACGAAATAGAGACAACAAATCCTTATTCTCAATCAATTTCTCGACTCCTTTTATGAAGTTGATCCCAGATTACAGCAAGAAGAAAGTCTTATTGCCATTAAATTAGAGGTTTTCCCCCACTCCATTTGATGCATTACTAGATCTACTAGAAAACTCAAAGCAATTAGATCTCTTCTACTCAAAATGAGTCTCTAAATACCCACATCAAATTAAGCTATATAACAGGTTCCTTAGTATTAAGAAGGAAAGAAGAGGAAGGTGATACGAGTAAATGGAAATTTGATAAGAAAATGGCTTTTGGTGGGTGCCGATTTTTTTGTGGGTGTTGGTTTTGGGAAGTGGGTGGGTGGATGGGTGAGTGTGTTGGGGGGGTGGAGAAGAAGATGAATAGTGTTTTTGTATTATGATTTAATTATTAATATATTGTAATTTTTTTTTAGTTGAAAAATGTAAAGTTACAATTTTATCCTTTTAAAATTAGTCAAAATAATGGTCAATGTTAAATCTTTGGTCAACTAACGGTCAAATTAACATTTTTCATCCATTTGGATTTCCACTGTGAGTTTTTGAAAAGTTTGGTATCGTGGATGGCACAAACTAAAAGTTTGGGCAAAATCTGCTAATAAACGAAAGGTTTGGCACCTCTGATGCAATTTTCCCTACTTTGTAAATACCAATGATAACCACAAAAATTCAAATGAAAGCACCAATATTCTCTTGATTATCATTATTTCGAATGACTTTATATCTCATACGACAATCTACAAATAAGATAAGAACGACCGAATTTTCATGTTGAAGAGAAAATTAAGGATCAGAAAGTTAAAACAGGAAGCAATATTAGGATAATACGTGTAAAGCTATGGCAGAAAGTATTCACATCCTGACATCCTATATGAAAAGGTTAAAGCCCCACATGACCCTGTCCCCAAGCCGGGACAGGGAGTATGAAAATGCTCCTTCAAAGTACACTTCCTTCACATTTTCCTTTTTTTTTTTTTTTTTGTTGCCCTACTTTCAAGCACGCAATTGCCTTTATCAAAAACAAAGAAATAAGACAAGATATCAGATCATGTAACAAGGCAGAAAGTTCTACGCTAAAAGAAAAGTACCAAGGGAAATTAAAGTCAAAATATAACAAGTTTTTATTTTAAAGAATCCAACTAAACGCTTGAGTAGATATAGTTGGGACAAATATATAAGCACAGAGAGGAGAAAGTAGAATATAAGAAAGTTCCTAGATTTTCGAAACAATCAACAACTTGGCTGCACACAAAAAAAATAAATAAATAAATAAATAATCCTAAGATGGTGCTCCGGGGCATAGTCCAGTGATGCAAAGAACAGGAGTGGGGTTATCTCATGCCTTGTTGGCAGCCGCATTGTTGGGTTTCGATTCCTAAAACATGGAATTAGACTCCTTGTAGGCGCAATGTACAGACAGCTCTTATTCCCTGACTTGGTGGGACACATCCCGCGATTTACTTCTCTCACAAAACTTTAAAGGCAGGGCGGTGAGAGCCCTCAAGGTTGGGGTTCAACCTTTTTTTTTTTTTTTTTAAACCTGAGATGGACATGCTTGAACATATAAACCTACACCCCTTTTCGCCAAAGAAAACCATACACATCCACAATAATCAAACCCCCTCTGCCATCATTAGAAACTCTCAACACCAACTTCCACATCTGCCATCACCACAGCAGCAGTATCATTATTCTACAAAAATAGCAGTAATAAAGGATAAGCATGGAACGGAGTGCATTGTGGAACATGTAAGGAATTAGGGGTGGACCCGGACGGAGGTTCAGTGGGAGCGAAACCAAAAAACCTTGGGAAGAAAAAAATAATCTAAAAACCTAAAAAAAATTGGGAAAAAACTGAAAATCTGAAAATCAAGTGAGGGCGGCCGACCCCACTGGGCATCAAGTAGGTCCGCCCCTGTGAGGAATGAAGGAGTTATTAGAGGTGATTTGAAGATATATCAACCTAGGGAGCTCACAGAAAAGAGAGACTGAAGGGAGTTTTGAGGATGGATAAAATGCAGGTTGTGCAGTAGTTTTCTATTATATTTCTATTTTTAGGTTAATTTAGTTTTATACTGACTCTCTCTTTTTTTTTTTTTTTTTTTTTTTTTGTAATAAATTAAATT